CCAGTTTTTCGCAGCTGCAATCTTCAAGAAAGCCCTGATCGTAGTCATTTTTATGACGGGAGCAAAGGTCTCATCATAGTCTGTGCCTGCCTCTTGTCGATTTCCTAAGACCACCAAACGAGCCTTATATCTTTCGAGTGTGCCATCTGAGTTAAGCTTCACCTTGAAAACCCACTTGTTACCGATGGCGTGTTTGCCTGGCGGAAGGTCTACGACATCCCAAGTGTGGTTTTTTTCAAGTGAACGACCTCATCTTTTGATGCCAGTCTCCAATGTTCGTGCTGCATCGCTTCTTTGAATGATCGTGGTTCCGAATAGGCATCCACCGCATTCAAGAAAATCTGTTGTGGAAGAGATAAACGATGAAGTGATACTAAGATAGAGAGAGGATAGATACACTTACTTGAGGACAAGGGAGCAGAGTGAGCAGCGCGAGAGAGGGCTTTATCATTGACGTTGGCTGAATGAGTGACGAACGGTTTGAGCAGCACAGATCTTTGTTTGACATGGTGTCCTCGGCCGAGTTCTTCGACCTCTGATACAACCTCTTCTGCAGTCGGTAAGTCGTGCTCGGAAGAATCTGGTGAAGATTCCTTTGTAGCAGGTGGAGAAGAATCAGCATCAAGAGTCGGAGAAGGCGAAGTTTGAGCAGGCGATGGTGCAGGTTCAATCGCGACCGGTGCAGGATTTATGTCGTTCTGATCATCAGATGGCTCCCCCTCAGTACTAGCGTCCGAATCATCTAGAGTTATCTCAACTGGAGGTAAGAGAAATGGGGTGCCAGTCATGTCTGCGTGTGAGGAGTCATTGAGATCAGCATAGGGAAAAACACCTTCATGAAAATGGACGTCACGAGAGACAAATGTCTTCTCTGTTTTGAGATCTAGTACCAGCCAACCCTTCTTTCCGAATGGGTAACCAAGAAAGACGCAGCGAGAGCTTCGATCCTCAAACTTGTCGCCAGCTCGAGGTGTGCGTGTGACGTAACATAGACACCCAAACGTGCGAACTTCATCATAGGTTGGGGCTCGTTGAAAAACTAGCTCATACGGTGTTTTCCCATTTAAGAGTGCCGATGGTGTGCGATTTATAAGAAATGCTGCCGCTTGGATACTCTCTCCCCAAAAACGATTCGGAAGACGAGCTTGGAAGAGCAGAGAACGAGCGACATTAAGTATGTGCCTGTGCTTCCTCTCGACGCGTCCATTCTGCTGAGGTGTATAAACACAGGAGGTTTGGTGCGAGATACCAATATCAGCAAAAAATGTGCGAAGAGGAAGAAATTCGGTGCCGTTATCTGTACGTACTGTCTTTACTTTCTTTCCAAACTGTCGTTCAACCCAGCTTATGAAATTCTTTAAAACGATCGCAACAGAGGATTTTTCTAGAAGAAGATGTGTCCAAACTGCCCGTGAGAAATCATCCACAATAGTTAAGAAGTATGTAGAACCACACGTAGATTTTGTGCGATATGGTCCCTATACGCCGCAGTGAATCAAGGTAAATAAATCATCTGCTTTATTAGAACTTTCTGGAAAAATAACACGGGATTGTTTTGCGCGAAAACACACATCACAACACTTTTCTAGATCACTAATGCTCCTACTAAAACCACCAATGTTTGAAAGAAAAGACAGAACTTTGGAAGACGGATGACCCAATCTTCTATGCCACAATTCTCGGTTGTCCAACTTAGCTATCTGATTGACTTGAGGAAGAACCGCTCCAGCCAAATGATAAACCCCATTGTGTGCCTCACCCGCTCCAATCAAAGTCCTCGAAGCTTGATCCTGTATCAAACAAAAATCGCGAGTGAATGTCACAGAACTTGCAATATCACGAAGCAATTGAGCGACAGAGATGAGTGTCGTATGTAAATCAGGTGCATAGAACACATGATGGAGAATCAATTTTCCACCGAGATTGAGGGTTCCGTGACGAGTGCTCCAAGTAAGTTTGCCGTTTGGTAACTTAATGGGACAGGCATTGATATCACGAAGGTCCGTCAAAAGGTTAATGTCTCCGGTCATATGGTGACTTGCTCCGGAGTCAATTAGCAAGTCGTACCTACTGTTGGTACCAAACAGAATGAGTTTGTCAATCTTACCAGAGGAGCTGTCAGTCGCAGTATTCTTCTTACTATCGATGAACTTAGCGAGATTGCTCCATTGCATCGGTGTGAGAGAAGGGATACCAGCCTGTGTCGTGTTGGAGGTAACAGCAACAGTTGCTTGATTTGCAGAGGGCTGCGATCCTTTGCCTTTACCACGTCCACGAGCAGAGTTCTTGGGCCACCACTCAGGATAGCCGACTATCTTGAAGCACTGCTGCTTCTCATGCCCGACACGTCCGCAGTGAGTGCAAAGAAATGTCTGTTTTGGAGTCGCAGCTACTGAATCAGAGAACCCGACATTGGTGCTCTGTTCTGATATGGTGCGAGTAGCATTGAGATGACGCTCCTCCTGCACTATTTGCGAGTAGACTTGATCAAGGTTAAGGTCCGAGAGTCTTGTCAAGAGATTGGAACGAGTTGTCCCAAATCGCTGACTGTCCAGACCCATTAGGAACTGATGCACTCGAAGTCCATCTCTCTTCTTATTGTACGCCACCATTGACGCGCAACTCGACGTTTTGCAGCAGCAGTTAAAACCTTTTTCCAAGTCCGCCAAGGAATCCCAAAGCACTGTTAATTTGCCGTAATAATCCTCGGTTTGTCCATCTTGTCTACACTTCTGAATATCTTCATGAAGCTGATGTTCTCGTGTACCATCACTCACTGAGAACCGATTTTTGATACTAGTCCACATGTCGGAGACGTTGTCGACGAGTGAGATTACGGATCAGAGTTTTGGTTCTACGCTGGAATAGATCCATCCGATCATCAATGAGTTCACTATATCCCACCGTTCGGCATCGTCGGAGCCGTTATCTGGTCGCTTTAGGCTTCCGTCGAGAAAGCCTAACTTTCTTTTCGTGCGAAAAGCATTAACCATGAGCTTTGACCAACGCTCATAGTTTGCTCCATCCAAGAGTATTGGGGATAACACTTGGCCGCTGTTTTCTCCTTGTTGAATGGTGTAGGGAGACATCAAGGGTTCGTCCTTCTTCTTGTCACCACCACCAGCCATCGTTTGCAGTTTTTAGGGTTTTTTTTTTTCGAGAGCAATTATGGTTTACAGGCCAAAGGGAGGCTCTGATACCATGACAAGATTGTATATTACTCTCAATCATTGTGTTCTCATTCCAAAGAAGTCATTACAATATATAATGATTGTGTATCTTAACTTCTAAGTAACAATAATATCTATTTAGGAAATATTCCTATATCTCCTAAGATTCGTATATATCTCGTCCAATAGTATTTGTCATCTTGACAACTAAACGGACGGTAAAACTAAAAATTAGTTTAATATGATTCACAAGATCTAGATAAGTTTTATCTTAAAATAATTGAATCGACCGGCACTAATACCACAACATTTGGATTGAGAATTTGTGATGGAAAACTGTAACAATTTTTTAGGGGTATCAAAGATGATCAAACACGTGGTTGGAGAAGAAGTAGATCAGTATATGATTGCAACAGTTTGCTTAAAACAATCACTCAGTCACAGTCATCTAGAACCGGATTATGGTCCATTAATTGGTCTCTACGTGATCACTTGCATAAGGAATAATGGAGAGTCGAACTAGATTGTCATGGCCCATGGCCATGGGCACGAGATCTTTTCATTGTTGGCCCTGTTTAAGAGACATATCAACGTAATTGTTTGACAATAACTTAAACTTGTAATAATCTCTGAACTTTTCGATTCGAAAACACTTCTTTTGGATCATTTGGTTAATATGTCTAAATCATGTATAAGTGATGGGAAAATCAAAATTATAAGTGATGCATTTACTGAAGATTTTTTTTTTTTTTTGGTCCACTCTGAAGTTACCATGCATGCACATCATCAGGTAACAATAAAACGATCAAATTTCAAAAGATTAATTAAGTCAAAAATTAGAATACCACTTATTAAAATGTGGCTAGAAATCTCCATCCGTGATTCCGGTTCTTTTGAATTACCTCCAGCAGAAGAATCCACAAATGAAATGGAATAAAATAATTGAGTCGACTTTTCTTCAAAGAAAAATTAGAACGAACAAAAAAAAAAGCCGACTTTTCCTTGATAAAGACAACCATAATCTCTCGTAAGAAGATAAATTTGAAAATATGTATATTATTTGATCATATTTTATAGTAATCTAGTACAGAGATTCAGACACGGTTTGTTGATATAACTAAATAATATGTGAGCTAAGAAAACAAATGCTCCCACGAATTATATTTCAGATTTCCAGTGGCCTTGATATTTTCATCTCTATAAGAAAATAAATCAAGTAAATATTTAATACTGTATATGCTTGTATGGTAGTGGGAGGCAATCTTTAAATATATAGAGAGACTTTTCTCTATCTTCGAAAAATCTATTTCTGTCTTCTCAGTATCCAACAAACAATGAATGGTCGAAATTACGTCTCCATACAACTATAACGGAAATATAAAAATAAATTTAAAAACTCCTCGTATGAAGAAGAATCCAATTCGAAATTTCCATTTAAAATAAATATCTACAAAAAAAAAAGATGAATGTAAAAATCGATTTCTGGGCAATTATTCCTTAAACCTTTGGCTTAAAATTTAGAATCAGTTTTTTGTAGTTTGTTAATATGACAATTACAGCCACAGCGCAATTTGCCCACTACGAATTAAATCTTACGTACATTCTTATCTCTACTGCAATAATTTCCATCTGGATAAGCTCCTTCATCTGACTCAGCTCCACAGGATCCGGCCCGAATTTATTCCACTTAACCCGACCCGTCTTTTAATCCTACTTGCCTGGCTATATTAGTCGTATTAACCTTTTTATATAATGCAATTAAAAACTAATTGATTCTTAATCAAGCAATCAAATGACTAATCGCATCTTCCCCTATAAATAAATCCCTCCATTTCTTCTTCTTCTTCAGTCTTTCCCTCTCTCCAAGAACAAAAAAAAACGCAGAGAAAATTAGAACTTAGCAAACGACACGACACCGTTTCATAGCAAAAATGCTTTCTTCTTCTCCAACGTCCTTCGCTCATCCATTCCTCTCCTCTTCTCCGCCTCTCTCCCCAATATCTCCTCCGTCTCGTTCTGCTCGGATCTCTCCTCCTCTCGTCTCCGCATCTTGCTCCTACACCTGCGCGGAGGACTCGCCGAGACTGCATCAGATCCCGCGGCGATTGAAGACGGCGACCGCCTCGCTTTACGATATTCTGGAGGTTCCTCTCGGCGCCACGAGCCAAGATATCAAATCGGCTTACCGGAGATTGGCCAGGACCTGCCATCCCGACGTGGCGGCAACCGATCGGACGAATTCGTCTTCTTCGGCTGATGAATTCATGAAGATCCACGCGGCGTACTGTACGCTCTCTGATCCTGAGAAACGATCTGTTTACGATCGGAGGATGCTGCGTCGGAGTCGTCCTTTGACCGTCGGTACCTCCGGGCTGGGCAGTTACGTCGGGCGGAACTGGGAAACAGATCAGTGCTGGTAGCGAGTTGGCTCGGTCCCCGAGTTAGCCCGAGTTAATTCCAATATTAAAACAAAAAAAAAGTAAATCGATTGTAAATAGGAAAGCGATAAGTGTCTGGGCTTTGACGTTGTAATTAATATTAGTAAGCTAACACGGACGATGATTAGTGTGCTAACGTACGCTTCCTCACTCTCTCCCCACGAGCGATCGGCACCGTTTGTTTCGTGTTACGTAGGATCTACGCGTTTTTTACCTTGTGAATCCTATAATAGATTATCAATGAGAACCAAAAAAAAAAACATATATATATCTACTTTCGTTCTTTTGATTATATAGAGCTGTTTTAAAATTTACCGATTTTCAGTGAAAATGTCAAAGTAACCAAGAAACAAATCTAATATGAATATGTTTGGAACAGTTTCATTTTATAGGGTTTCTTACAATTAGTTATTCTCAAGTTCAGATTAACTTTCTGTTTTTCGTAACATTTTTGGCTTGTTTTCATGGATATCGAAAATAAGAAATCTGCACGATTGATATATATATATATATATACGATATAGAACGCCTCCAATTAATTGACAAAAAATATAATCATTAGGATACATCCATCCATAAGTGATTATATCTTCTGGTCCACAAGATGAATGATAATCAAGAACACGTGAACATGGCCAATGACAGAAGATTTTTCCCAAAGTGAAACAAACAAACCCATCACTTTTCGAGTTTTTTTTTTGTTTCAAGTGCTAAGTTGAGTGATTTTGCGTTGTTATAATTATGATTGTGGAGTCCCAACTGATTTTATCAAAAGGATGATGTGCATATATGTGTTGTAATACATTTATGGTATTTCCAGCCCTCTTTTTATCATTTCATTTTTAGATCATTCTAATTTAAGATATCACTACAATAATATCTGTTCGGGTGTTGTAAACTGTGTGATCACCAGGGAAAAAAAATTTGAAATCAAAATTGAGATAGTTGGATAACATAAGTTAATTTTGTCTCCACCGCGTTGATATTAAGCATGTGATATATAACCACATGTTACAAGAAGACTACTAAGATTGAACCCTAGACATGGTGAGATGGAACTTGGAAGCATTATTGCGTTCCATTAGCATGACCTACTTCCCCCTCCCCCCCCCCCCCCCCAAGTTCATTCACGGAAACTACAATCACAGACGTAGCTAAATCCTGTAAAAAAACAAAACCTAGACTATGCATATTTTTCTAAATAATGACCATAATAAACTCATACGTCAGCTTTAGGTTTATTGGGACCTAGAGGTGACAAAAGTATGGCCCCGCGATATTGTGGAAACTGGAAAGTAAACTCATATTGTTTAAGAGGTTAGATCTTCTTCACTATAAATTATTGCCGTATATTATCTTAATTTGTCGGGACTTAATATAAAATATTAGATACTTTTATTTATTTAAGTTTATGTAATAATAATGTCCTTCTAGAAGCTTAAAGATAGTGTCGTTCGTTTTTTCTGTGTCTAAGACAAATAAAAAGCAAAAGGAGACAACAATATAAAAAATATCCCCAAACCAAACTCGTGGCTCTTCTTCCTCTTTTGTCTGTTACTGTTGATAGAATTTGTTTCAGCGACTTTTATGTATAAATGTTTTCGACGTTTAACTGAAAGACGTGCTCCAGTGAATTATATGATTAAGATTCGTTGTAACCACGATGTCTTCGTTTGGAGGATAAATCAAGAAGTTGTATTTTTATTGAACATATATCTATTCACTTTTTCTAATAAAACATAAAACGGACGAGGCAGAAGTCGCAGAACACACTCGATTCTTAATCATATATATAATCCCAATATAATTTAATCATGTAGTCAGTGTACTTTATTTCTCCTTTGGGACAAATATCTTGCTTGCATTTCTGTGTATAAATTAAATATAAAATCTTTTAGACCCACTTGTGTTGTAGTATCTTTAATACTAGTAAAAAAAAAGCCATGTGATGAGAACGAAAACTACTAAATTTATCCAATGGAATTAATATGTTTGGTGAAAAATGAAACTAAACAATAGCAGCTAGTAGAAGCCTAGAACCATAGAGTTTAGTTTTAAGAGGACAACACATTATTTTAAATCTTATATTACGTAATAACACGGATTGTTCTGTAATAATCCTTTTTTTAGAATTTCAAAATACAGCATAAACATGGAACATGGCCCAGAAATAAATATGGTTGGTTACTTGATTTTAACACTCGATGTAGCCACATACGACTCGAAGAAAACCCCAGCTAGCCTTAACCAATAAATGCAATGTCTCTTGGGCCCAATCTAACTTATCCAGTTCGCATCTTTAACAATATTATTTGTCATAAACTTTTCAGTGTTCACAAAGCTTTCCAATAAGCTGTTAAATAGCTAATTTCCCTACTTTTTATTATTTATTTATGCAAATAGAAATGATCTATCATTTAATGTTTGTATCATAAAACTACAGCATCGATTATGTCTCTGTGTATTAATCGATTATCATATATTATAAGTTTTGTTTATATACAGATTAAATTCTGTGCTGAAAATTTATCAAATCACTATCCGATAATTATAGAGTTGTTTTGTATGAAGAATAACTGATTATGTTATTCATCATTCAGCATGCCTAGCAGCCTATGTTTTCTTTGCCATTTTATAATTTATGTTGTTTTCCATTATAAGATAAGTATAATATATGTGTATATAAATAATATTGCTCAATGAGCTACGACGACTTGGTAAAATGACAAAAGTAATCAACTCTGATTACGAAAGCCGGCGACGACCGGCGTGCTCTGTAAGATATACATAGAAATGACGAAACCGTGTTGCAGAGACCAAACCAAACCCACAAAACATTTATGATCTTCTTCATTAACTTTAAAACTAAGATCAACCAATTTCTGATTACGTTGATCTACCCCAATTTTTTTTCCTAATCATCTATGGGTGATCTAGCGAAGCAGATATTGACTCGACCGATTCAACTTGCAGACCAAGTGGTGAAAGCCGGAGATGAATCCACAATCAACAAGCAAGAATGCGCTGAGATCAAATCCAAGACGGAGAAACTCGCTGCTCTTCTCCGTCAAGCGGCGCGTGCGAGCTCCGACCTCTACGAACGTCCCACGCGCCGTATCATCGACGACACTGAAAACGTTCTCGAGAAAGCATTGACCATGGTCCATAGATGCCGTGACGATGGCTACATAATGCGTCTCTTCAACATAATCCCCGCCGCAGCATTCCGGAAAATGATTTCCCAGTTGGAAAACTCCGTCGGCGATGTCTCTTGGCTCCTCCGTGTCTCAACTCCCGCCGGTAACGACGACGACGAAGGTTTTGGTTACTTAGGTCTCCCTCCGATTGCAGCCAACGAGCCAATCTTGTGTTTGATTTGGGAGCAAATTGCGGTTTTGATGACCGGTTCGCCGGAAGATAAATCCGACGCCGCCGCGTCTTTGGCGTCGTTAGCGAGAGATAACGACAGATACGTGAAATTGATAGTGGAGGAAGGTGGAGTCAACCCTTTGTTGAAACTGTTGAAAGAAGGGAAAATCGACGGTCAAGAAAACGCGGCGAGGACAATCGGGTTACTGGGTCGAGACCCGGAAAGTGTGGAGCAGATGATTCAGGCTGGTGTTTGTTCAGTGCTTGCGAGTATTCTCAAAGAAGGTTCGATGAGGGTTCAAGCGGTTGTGGCTTGGGCGGTTTCGGAGCTTGTCGATGGGAATCACGCCAAATGTCAAGAGCTGTTCGCGCAAAACAACGTGATTCGGCTGCTCGTGAGCCATCTAGCGTTTGAGACGGTTCAAGAACACAGCAAATACGCGGTCGTTGCGGGTAGAGCCACGTCGATGCATCACGCCGTCGTGATGGCGAGCAAAATCACTAGTAAAGAGAATTTGCCGGCGCTGCACGAGGAGGAAGATAATTTGATCGGAGTCGAGAATCCTTTGCCGAATCAGATGCATAGCATCGTTGCAACTACAATGGCGATGAAAGCGGTTGGATCGGGAACGGGATCTGGATCGAATGCGTCTGGTCGATTTGATATCGGTGACGACGAGAAACCGCCGGTAAAGCTGCCGGAGAAGAGCTATAGCTTGAATTCACATAAAAATCTTAGTAAGCCTTACAGTACGGCACATCAATCGCGGAATGCGTCGGTCTCGAGAGGGAGGGAACTCGAAGATCCGGTGACGAAGACCTATATGAAAGCGATGGCGGCGAGAGCGTTGTGGAAACTCGCTGTGGGAAACGCAACGATCTGCCGAGTCATCACCGAGTCACGAGCTTTGCTCTGCTTCGCGGTTCTACTGGAGAAGGGAGACGCAGAAACGAAATACAACACAGCTATGGCTATAATGGAGATAACCGCCGTGGCGGAGGAAAACTCAGATCTGAGACGATCCGCGTTCAGACGCACTTCACCGGCGTGCAAAGCGGTTGTTGACCAATTATTCCGAATCGTGGAAAACGCCGACGCCGGATCCGATTTGCTCATCCCCTGCGTCAGATCCATCGGAAACCTAGCTCGAACCTTTAAATCCGCGGAGACGCATATGATCGTTCCTCTGGTTAAACTCCTCGACGACGGAGAACCAGATTTAGCGGCGGAGGTAGCGATCGCGCTTGCGAAATTCGCGACGGAGGATAACTTCTTAGGGAAAGAGCACTCGGGGACGATAATCGACGCCGGAGGATCGAAGCTTCTGGTGCAGCTAGCGTACTTCGGAGAGAACGGAGCTCAGATTCCGGCGTTGGTTTTGCTGAGCTACGTGTCGATGAACATCCCTGACAGTGAGCAATTGGCCAAGGACGAAGTGTTGACGGTTTTGGAGTGGGCATCGAAGCAAGCGAATGTAACGCAGGAAGAAGATATGGAAGCTCTGTTGTATGAAGCTAAGAGCAGGCTTGAGCTTTATCAGTCCAGAGGTTCCAGAGGCTTTCACGTATGATTCCATTATTTGTTTCTGGATCCGATTTAGAAAATACTACGATTTGATTTCACATGTATTCAAATGATTTTTCTTGTAGATGACTCCCTAATTTTACCTCCATTATTATCAAAAAAGATGTATAAAGTTGAATTTTTCAATATTTAATTTTGCTATATTGGGTTGGCAATGACAAAACATTTTGGAATCTGAATTCAGGTTACTCACCGGTAAAAAAAAACTAAAAATCTCGGTTAGGCCCATCTGAGCGATAATTTTGGACCATGTGCTATAACTTCCAAAAATTAGGCCCAGTAAAAAGTTCAATCAAGGGCCCAATCTTATCAATTCATTAAATGGATTAGTATTGCGACAGATTAAAAAATGCACGGTAATCATTAAAAAGCTAAGGTGGACGCGTGCACAGCTGATAACCGACGCCGATAGAGGAAAAAAATGAAGTGGCAGAGTTTCCTAAATTCCCCACTTGCGAAGAATCCTCCACCAAATATTAACTTGGGCGGCTGTATCTGTATTTGAGTCATTAGGGTTGGATTAAATTCCACTAATTAGGGTTTTCTATCTAACTGTGAATTAATCAACACTGCCTCTATATATATACATACACACCGACGGATTTACCTCCCATAAGCCCTAATTACTCAAATTCTCGATCTCTGCTCCAAATTTTCTTTCTTTTTTGATTGTTCTCCGATGGCGTTAGAGGATCAATTCGCGGTGAGATCTACAGGGAAGGTCAATTGGTTCAACGATTCTAAGGGATATGGTTTCATCACCCCTGACGACGACGGTGAAGAGCTTTTCGTTCATCAATCCTCAATCCTCTCCGAAGGTTTCCGGAGTTTAACCGTCGGTGATTCGGTTGAGTTCGCCGTCACGCAGGGAACCGACGGCAAGACCAAAGCCGTCAATGTCACGGCTCCCGGCGGTGCTCCTCTTCACAGGAAGGAGATTAGCTCTCGCGGTAACGGTGCTAGGCGAGGAGGCAGTTGCTACCATTGCGGCGAAGTAGGTCATATGGCTAAGGATTGCAGTAGCAGCGACCGTGGTGATCGTAGCTCCGGAGGGTGTTACACTTGCGGCGATACTGGTCACTTCGCTAGGGATTGCGTTCAGAAATCAAGTGGAAACGGTGGAAGCGGCGGTGAACGCGGAGGAGCCGGAGGAGAATGTTACAATTGTGGTAACACTGGTCACTTTGCTAGGGATTGCGTTCAGAAATCGGTTGGAAACGTCGGTGACCGTGGAAGTGGCGGCGGTGGAGTTTGCTATAATTGTGGTGGAGCTGGTCACATGGCTAGAGACTGTCCGACTAAGAGACAGCCTGGTGCTTGTTACGAGTGCGGTGGTACTGGTCACATGGCTCGTGATTGTGACCGGAGAGGAAGCGGTGGTGGCCGTGGAAACGCTGGTGGAGGTGGCGGCGGAAATTGCTTCAAGTGCGGTCAAGGAGGTCACTTTGCGAGGGAATGTTCTGTTGCTTGATTGCTTCCTTATCATCAAACGAAAGGAATGGAAATGAATTTGAGTGATTTCCTCTTCGTTTTCATTATCTTTTGCTGATGGGAATGATGAAATTTGCCTGGTCCTTTTCGTGTTTTGAGTTTCTTTTATACAATCCTTTTTTGTGATAACTATATAAGTTTAGCTAGAGTTGGGCTCCTCCTGATATGGATGCTGTCCTTTTTTTAAGTTTTTTCTTTGGAAATTTTGACCTCTATATTGTTTATTATGACTTGGTTCGTTTGCTTATATCATTTGAGTATTGGTCCTTTTATTTAGGAATTGCTCGTTTCAGTTTATTAGCCTGCTTATTGTTCAAACTTGATATACGACTATTCCATCAAACCAGCGAAATTGATAATCCATTGTCATACTTTCTACATCAAGATCAATCTAATTCTTTGGTTGTTTTGGTGTGATTCTTAGACATGATTTTTGGTCTAAGGGGTTAATTGTTTCATCAATATATAAAAACATTTTAGCAAGCAAAAAGAGATTAATTATTGGATATTGATAAGGTTCTTTATCGTTCTTGTCTTGAACAGAATCTCGTGGTCGAGGTTTATAAGATTTAAAGTAATGACATCACGCAGATCTATAGATTGTTACCTGCTATGCAGAGTCACGGCCATCTAAGGCTTGTCTCAATCGTTTATTATATTAGTTATTGATTTTCTAAGTTGGAACCTAATTACAGTCATGATTGGCAAAATCCAAGACTGCTGATGATTTTTTCCAATAGAAGAAACTGGAAAGCCAAGTTTGCGGTTCACCTTTTCCAATTCAGATAAAGCCACACAATCGAATTATCATTGGTTAAATTAGTGTGTGTGTATACATAAACCAAAAATGAGACATCAGCCTAAGGTTAGACATTAACCAATGATGTACATATAAACCTTAGGTTTGGCCAAAAGAATATATTAAAAAACTTTAGGTTAGACATCAGCCACATCCAATTGTGTTCATGTCGTTGGGTGGGTGGATTCAATAAACCAAAACTTCCTAATCCATTTATCAATTCAATTATTAAAGGTTCCATTGCCATTTTAGATGTCTCTTGGAATCGTTGCTGTTTTATAAATGAAAATTCAGTAAATTTGTAGAGTAGAAAAACACACTTGAGACCTATCCAAGATGTACTAATTGTTAAACATATATGT